AATTCAAGGAAAGTGAATTTAAATAAAAAGAAAAATTTAAAAAAAAAAAAAAAAAAAAAGAAAAAGTTTGAGAAATAGCTTACTGAAGTATAAAAGCTGCTATTGAAACATTTTTTTCAAACACCACAAATAGGATGCCTGCCAGAAAGTCTGTTGGGCTGATAGATGATCAAAATGAAAAGAGACCACTTCAGAAGCAAGAAAGCTAAATCAAGTATTTCCGTTGAACTCTTAGCAGTGACCAACGCCAGATACCCAGGGAAGGGAACAAAAACAGGGCAAGCACACAGTGATTACTTCTCACTATACGCTCATATCTTCAGCTACCTAAAGCTTAGGGACTTTGTAATTCGGAGATAACAGATCTCTGCATGATAGATTCTACTGAATTTTTCTGCCATGATAGCCTAATTGCTTTTTTCCTTTTGTGCTTTTTTTAAAAATAAATCCAGTATTTCCAAAAGAATGCAACATAAATTGACAAACTATTGTTGTGTGTAACTACGGCTGACATCAGCCTTGTTATCAAACAAACAGAAGGAGGATAGCATGACACCAGTTTTCATGAAAGGGCCCCGGGGAGCTAAAGAATTGCAGACTACTAAGTCTGACTTCTGTGTTGGAAAGAAGCTAGTAATAAATAACAAAATTAGTAAACCATAGACATAGCTTTTGTGGAAGAAAGCCATGCCACAGAAACATATTATCATCTTTTGAAGAAATCAAAAGCTACGCAGACACAAGTGAGCCTATTAATAGAGTAACTGAATTTCTGAAGCCTTTGATGAGGTTCTTTGCTTTCTTTACAAGCAAAGTTCTTCAAAGTATGGCAGGGTATGATGGAAGTTCTCTTAGATTAGTAACTGCTGAAGTGTAAAAACTGTTTATTCACTCCCATTTTTTAAGGGAATTTGTGACTGTAGCGGCGTGTCTGTGCTGGGATCCAAACTGTCCACCTCCTCTTCCATGTCACTACTGAACAATAAAAGAAGTTCTTGGTAGTTGCAGTTAAAATGAATATAAACAGCTGCAGAACAATTCAAGGACACTACCGAGGAAATGAGCTGGCAGGAGAGTTCACTGCAAGTGCAAACGAATGTACATGGAGCGTGAGACCACTCTTAGTGCGTATACTCAGTGACAGACCCTAAACTTGGCATTACCACTCAAAAAAAAAAAAAAAAATCTTGGAGTCAAATGCGGATAGCTCTTTGAGCATTTTAGCTCAGAGCTAATGAAAGGGCAAACAGAATGGTAGGAATAATAAGGAAGGAATATGAAACATGGATATAGTCGCTTGATGTAGGTATCTCCGATACTCCCGTATCACAGGGCAGCAGAGCAGCAGAGGTACATGACAGTATCCGGGAGGCGAGCTTAAACAAACACCATGTTCTTCAACTTGCAAAGAGTCACTGACTCAGGATGTCATTAATTCCAAGAGTATAAATGTATTTAAAAGACAAGTCTGTGCACAGAAAAAGATCTAAGACGCACGAAAATCCTGTTGCAAATTTTGCCTCAAGTGTCCCAGCCCACTGGTTGCCAGGAATGAAACTTCGTCCATTCTTGTGTGTTTTCTCCCAAGCATATGACATTGGTCAGAGCTAGAGACAAGACTGTCAAGAAAACTGATCTCTGGTCACACACAGTATAGCTGTATTTTTTTTAATTTCCTTTTATTTTAAAATACCCTGGACAAGTGTCTTATTATGTTGAAAAAACAACTCATTTCTTGTTCTCCCTAGCAGCAATTCTGTTCAATTATTTTTTTTTTTTGAGAGGACACACCTTGTTAGCTGATAGCAGTCATCCTCAAATCTGGGTCCATTTTTTATTTCCCTAGCATCGTGTGTTTATCCTGAATTCAGGATCATCCAGATGCCTTTCTCACTCTGTTTTTACTTCAGCTCTACCTCTGTGCAGACTCCTGATCACCAAAAAAAAAAAACCAAAACCCAAGGAGCAATCAAATTAATATCTTTCTTCCCTAAAGCTAACATTAGTTTTATCGCAGGTCTGCTAGGAGGCAGGGACACCATGTACAACTCCATATAAATGACTGCTCTTAAAAGTAAAAGGCTGCCACCTATCAGGAAAACAACAAGAAATCCAAAATAAAAATCACCAAGAAAACATTTTCTTCCAGCAACTGTACTGAGGTTTTGGACAGGGCCTGCTACGCCTGCTCTACCTCTTTGTAACTAGAAATAAGGTGGAAAACAGCTACTGCTCCACCCAAACCCAGTTTATGGCTCCCCCGGCCCTCCTGCAGAGTGCTGAAAGGCTGCAGCAAGACGATGCCATCTTTGAAATTTTGTACATTGACTTTTACATATCCCCATACATTCTTGCTTTTGTTTAACCAAGCCTATGGCTTGCTGTACACCAACAGAAATGCCTGGCTTCAACCTTGAAACAGATTAGTTAAAATTCACGAGGCAAGAGTATGCAGCACGGGCAAAAGGGAAATGTTCTGATGTGCCCGACAGACAACTTCACCACACCACCCGATGTTACTCCTCTATACAGGGCGCAGTGAGAGTTAAGGCTTTTTAAGGCAGCTGAGACTGCCCAGAACCACCACCAAAGTCCCTACTGAATCAATAAAGGCAGTTGGCAAAACATCTTGGCAACGCGTCCAACTCCAAAGTCAAATCTTAACATAGCAGGACTGAATCCCCCTTTATCGGCATTTCTTCCCTCTTCCCCCTCCAGCAGGGACAAGCCCTAAGGCTACACGGCTTTTCAGCTGACAGAGACAGTTCTGGCCACACTATTCCACTCCCGCCAGCACTGCCTAGGCAAGCATTTGGCACACTTCGCTGAACAAACCCAGCTGCTTAGGGTCATGCTTAAAAATTTTGATGCCTAAAGGAGGAGAAGGCTGAGATGAGGTCTACCTGGATTTGAACGTCTACGAACAAATAACCCAGTCCTTGGCTGAAAGATCTTCCTCAATTAGCAATGCCAAGATACCATTAACCACAAAAAGATGATTATACTGCTGTTCGGTAGGATCAAACAATGTTGACCAGTCTTATCAACCAAAATGGCTTCTGGGCTTCTTAAGCAGATCAGTGGGAGGAAAACAAATAGCGCATCCAGCAGGCAACCTGCTACTTTTCATCGCATTTCTCGCGGCTATCGGGGGACGAGCAGGGAAGCGAGTGCGTTGATACCTGACAGCAGACAGCAGTATCAGCCAACCGTACACTGCTTCCCCTCTCCTCTGAGGTTTGTAGCAGGCACACGGAAGCTACAAACCTTTCACCCATCCAGAGCAATTGCAAGCATCCCAAGTATTCAATACATAAAACGTTTGCTATAAAGCTGTCTGCAAGATGCTTCTTGTTCACAGTGTTTTTCATGCTGTTTTGTTTGCTTGGTTAGAATATTAAACAATGAAACCTAATTCTGAGTTGAGCTGCTGGCTTTGACCTCCATGGAAGACATCTCTACAAGCGTGCTTAGAAGAAACGGTTTCTAAAATTCATCTTCTCTCCTACAATCGGTCACATGGCTGTCCCTCCTATTCCTCAAAGTGCTTAACTCTTCTTCGGGAATTTCTATTTATTACTCTACTTCAGAACAGAAGTCAAGCCAAACTCTGAGATTATGCTACAAATGCTTCAGGATGCTGTAGGTGTGGAACTATCTGGCAGATACATACGCTCCCTGGTGCCCTCAGCACAGAAAAATCCTGGGAGAGGGGAGAGTAACTGAGTAACCGGCCAGGGCAGAGCCTCTGCAATGGGCCAGCGATGCGACCCGCAGGCTGGTGCCCGATCCAGGGATCGCCAGGACCAGGTGGAAGTGAAAGCAGGCCAGTACCTCATTTCATGTCTAGAGTCATACACCGCTCCCTCCAAACGAATAAAAGACAAACAAACAAAAAAACCCCAACACCCAAACTAAAAAAAAAACCCTACCAATCTATTGGTTTGCTCAGAGACCTTTAGATATTTTAGACGCTGCTCAGAGACCTTTAGACCAGAGATATTTAACAAGGAAAATTATATCAAATGCAGATTAGCCTGAGAGCAGATTTGGCTCCAGGATACACCGAAGATCAGAAGAGATTGTGTAAACCTGTTAGTAATCATCAAGCAAATGTTAGTAACTTCCCAGAATTTCCCCACACCAAAGCAGACACCCTCCCAGAAAGTGAAAAAGTGGGTTTTTTTTCTGAGACTGCTTCCTTTGTTATGACAAATGCAGTGAGAAGCTGTTAGAAGACTACTATTCCACCAGCTCCAAACCCCAAACACCACTATAGCAGATCTATACTTTTGTTAATGCAGGTAAAGGGAACAATACTTCGTTTCTGTTCCAATTATTTAGCAAATTTTAATTTTTGAAGCATCAGGGTGAACTAAAACTGAATAAACTAACTAGTATAGCAATTTCTGCAGGAAATAACAAAGAAAATAATTCTTTCTTAAAAACAAATCTTAAGAAGTTATGGATTAAGAAAAGAAGTGAAATGAAGACTGTGGCTGGACCTGGAACATGCAAATATGTGCAATTAGACACTAAAATGGATAACTTCAGAGAGAAATCAATATAGATTAAGTATTCATGAAAGGAATCATTGCAACAGCATTAATAATAATATATGGAAACATCTGGCATAGTACAGCACTCTTGCCTGTCAGGACAAGAAACCTTAAGTATTTCGTCTAATTAATAATATTCTTTTAAGCATCAGTTAAGATATATGGAAAGAAAGTAATTAAAAAAACAGAACTAAAAGAAAACAAAAAGTTGGCTTACTCTTCTTGACGCAAGTCATTAACGCTCCGGTCTAGTGAGATCATATCACTTGCCACCATATTAAACCCGAACTCTTTAATGCTGGCTTGAATGGATTCTTTGTAATCTGGTCCTAAAACATATGGCTTCGCTTCCTCTCCAGGGCCACCAACAACTCCATGAGGCTCAGGCTCTTTGGGTTCAAAATTACCAAGGATTCCAGATCGTAAAACAGGATCTCGGTATACAAATGTCTGAGGCTTAAATGTGAGATACTGCCTCTGGATGATGTTTTGCTGTTTGTTATCACCACCAGCATGATGATTTAGTTCATTTTTGGCCTTATTTTTCCTTCGAATGGATTCCAAGTCCACTTCCACACCTTCAACATGAGGCCAAGGTACCACAGGTTTGAACTTCTCATTTCCTAGTCCATGGTCTCCTTTGTTTGGCATGAGTCTGTTGGCTTCTTTGTCATCCTATATATACACACAGAGAAACAGCAGGAGATCATATGAATTGATGACCCTTTATTTATTTAAACCCAGTATCTTAACACACCAAGAGCTGGTACTAAATGTCTGTTAAGCAAGAAGGGAGAAGCCTCTCTTAAGGGGCTCAGGGAATGCTTTTTATTAAAGCAACTGGCTGCTGGAGAACCCCACCAGCCATTGTCCACACTTACCTTAGTGAGTAGGTCCTGGAAATGGCCTAACGCCCAAAGCGTTCCCAAAGGCCAAGTGCCCATGTAGGACACGTTGACTGGACCGCAGCCCACCAAACCAACGTGTCCCACCAGGGAGGCAGACCGAGCATCTCCGGAAGGCGAGGGCAGTACGGAGGCAGGCAACACCGCGATGCTGAGCACAGCATCCTTGGGGCCGCTCTCAGACATCAGGTATTCCTGAGGCTATGTTTGCCGGCTGCCGAGACCTCAACACATCAGCAGCCCTGAGACGCAGCCCCGATCCGATCTGCTGTGCAGCCATGCAGACCAGACCCGCCTGGGGAGCAGTGCTGGGGCTGCTGAAAGCTGCCTCAGGTGCTGCTATCTCCTGCATCCTTGTTGAAAAGGACTTCACCATTTTACAGCATACACCCCCCCTCCCCGCCCCAAGAGAGCTGAAGTTCTCACTGAGAAGAAAGGCTGGGATTTTGAAAACTGCTCGGCATTTTCAGCGATCCATGAGGGTGGTGGTGTCAGAACAAGGGTGGGTGATTTTGGAAGGAACTGGACAGAAAGGCTCTGAAGTGTGCGAGTGTGAAGTCTCCAGAGTACAACAGCCCCACCCACAAACGCTCACACAGTCACTGCTTTTTCCAGTACTGCTGTCCAAGAGGACAACAGAGAAACGTTGCTGAAAGTTCACATTTCCTACTAAAATGATCTGTTTGTGAACAAGACAGATGTCAGATCACACCGCAGTCTGCAGAGAACAACGCACACATTTTAGCAACGTCTCACTATCTATTCACAAACACAGAACCAAATCAAAAATGGACATCAGCAGGATGTCACCTGTCCAAAGCTGCTGGAGGCAGGGACAGCTTCACAGCTAGATCAGGTTTCTCAGCGGCTCCTCCAGTCACACCCCGAAAACCTCCAGCTTCTCTGAAGAACCTGTTCCAGTTGCTTGACCAGTCTCACAGTAAAGGTATTTTTCTTCTCACCTCAGAGTAAGTTTCTCACGTTGCATCTTGTGATGGTTGTCCCTTGTCCTTTCAGTGTGCACCCCTCAGAAGAGTTTATTTCCATTTTCTCTGCAACCTCACTTTTGAGGGTGAAAAGATGCATTTAGCTTCCCCATTCGACTTTTCTCCAGCCAAATCAAGCCGAGCTCCTCTACCCTTTCCTCCACTATATGACTCTGACTTCTCCAGCAGTTCTTTGCTAGGTCCCTCGGCCAGGTGGCTGAGCTTTTCCTAGCATCATCCATCACGTAGTGCACCTTTACTGCGACAAGGGCACGTTGCTGACTCGTGTCCATGTTTAACTAAACCGCACAATACTTAGTATGACACTGCAGTATTTTCCTCATTCTGCATAGTAAAACTTCAGAAATTATGAAAAATCCAGCAAAAAAAATACACCTAGGTTAACACGATAATAATGGGAGTCGGACTGGCTCCAATTCAAAATAATAGAGTTTATTCAAGCAGCTTTCTGACCTCTCTGCTTGTTCTACTGTAAACAGGGAAGGCACACAAAATGCAGAAGTGTTAGGTCATCCTGTTCCTCCACTGCTGTTTTTTGAGGAACTCAAAAGCCTGTGCGAGAAAGGGAAGGGTAAGGGCACTTGAAAAGGTGCATTTTGCAAGGAGGTAGAAGACTGCCATGGATCTAAATCAAGCCCTGAGAGGACTTGCGAAGAGAGCATCATATCACGCTTAGCCCAGAAATGAAAAGACTTTGCCACTCGACTGTCAGGATACTGCTGAGCACGCAGCTCTTACCAGCTTGCATCTAATTCCTGCTTCGAGTGCGGAGGCGGCTATAAAAGCCAAGAAAATGGTGGGCATCATCAGGAAGGATGCTTCAAGAGAGCGTCACTTTGACTACACAAAATTTTGAGGCATTCATGTCTTCAGTAATATCTAGTTCTGGTCTCTGCATCTCAAAAGGAGTTAAGAGAAAGTACAGAGTAGGGCAACCAGAATGAAGGAGGAGGTGGACAGGTGCCTTAAGATGAAAGACCAGAAAGGCTGGCCTTTCATCTTCAGACTGCAGTCTGTAGGTGTGATGGCTGAGGGGTATACAACTGAAGTTCACAAAATCATGAAGGTGATGGATAGATCGAACGGAAAACCGCTGTTCACATTAAGTACAAGAACTGGAGGCATTCGAGAAAATTGATAGGACATCAACTGAAAAAATGTTCTTTGCACAGTGACCTCCTGGAATATGCTGCACAGGAGGCTGTGGAGAGAGACAGTACCACCAGCTGAATGAGGGATGAGAATGTGATGGATGACAGGTCCATAAGTGCACTGTAAAAGGACTGGGCAGGGAGGCACCTTCTAAAAGCTCTAATTCAACAGCTGTGGATGCTGGGAGTCTAAAGGGAAGGGAGCATAGACAGCAGCCAGGCTTACATGCTGCTGCTCTCAGACACCATCCTGGATCACTAGTCTCAGTCAGGCAGGAATTTCTTGTACCCCTGGCCTGTATGAAATTAAATATCCTTTCATTCCGCTTCCACTACCTATAAAACAGTTACGAGCTTCCACTTAGCCAGTTCTCTCACTGAAACATAACACTTCCCAAAGCAATTTGTTTATTTTGCTGCCATCAGAACTATGACTTACCCTGTATTACATTTAGCCTCATTATAACTGTTATGCACAATTTGCATTATAATGCATTTATTTGCTGTTCCCGTCCAGACATTAAATATATTCTATTTTTGCAGGCCTGGGAAAACATTGGATAGAACATGAAAATGATAAACACACACAGAGAGGCGCTCATTCCCCTCTCTCCTCCAATCTGCCCGTACCCAGGACAAACGCGACGGGAGGCATTTGCTGGGGGCTAACTCCCGCAGGCAGCTCAGCACCACACAGCTGCCCACTCCCCGCTCCCGGGCACAGATCCCGTATGCAGGATCACACGGGATGCTATGAAGAAAATTAACTCTGTCTCAGCACTGCAAAACAAAACAAAAAATGAACTAAAATTAACAGTGTTTAAGCGTGTGCTGCAGTCCACAGCTCCTGGAAGTTATTAGTTTCTCCAGAGACAACTCAGACAAAGGTTTTCCAAATACTGCATGGAAAACAAGCGAAGTCAAACCACAATCACAGAACTACTCTGGACGTCACGCCAGCCACAACGCCTTAGTTAGGAACTTCTAGCGCTTCTTCTCTTTCGTGAATGATGACCACCCCCATTTTTTAAGATTATTTAATGACACATGAAAAAAATTAAATACGTTTTTAATCCATGTGTCTCACGGATTAAAAATTTGGCTCAGCTAAAAACATACCATCGAACTTCTGAAAGAAAGGTTCATGCAATGACAGTCAAACTGAAAGGCACGCATATTAAAAAAAAAACCAACAAACCCGAAACCCCACAACCACCTTTCTTAAGCTGAAAACCAAGATAGTTTTAAAATTATTTGAGAAATTTCGGAAGAATCCAAATCAATGACAACGAGTTGAAGGGAGGGCTCAGAAGAAGTGAACACGGCACACATCCAAAGACCGCACCTCTAGGTTTTCCAAAAATGAGGGAAGAGAAGCAAAAGTCTGAATTCTCTCACATCTGAAGACAAACAACAACCAAGTCTCATTACATCTTTATAAAGGACACGCAGTAAGCTGTTTACACACAGTAATGTAGAAAAACGCTTATTTCACAGATCTTTGTTTTTTTCTATAGGGCTAAACCTAGGATTTCCTGCCAGCTTCTCCAGCTCCAGTTCAGTGCGGGCTTCTTCATTTTCTGAATGTTCTTTTCACTCCTTAGGAGATTATGTATGAGTCACTGCAATGGGTGTTTCGGATACAGCGAGATGATCCAAATACAGTCAGTCCCTGACTTGTGTAAAAAAAAGGAGGTATTTAGTGTAATTTTTTTTTTTAAATTAGGTTCTTCCTTTTTGCAAAAGAGAGGAATGCAATTAAAAAGGTATAATGAACATAACCGTGTCCTGTTAGAAACATGTTTCTAACTTACACAAAGTAAAAGAAAAAACTGGGAGAGGCCTTCACAGGGCCACAAGATGGGTCAGCTGGCAGGAGGGCTCGAGTTCTGGCTTGCAATCAAACTGGAAATGTCAAAGTTGCATCATCTCCTTTTCTTCAGTCACCCAGTTCAAGACTGGCACCTCCCTAGAACTCCCTATGAAATAATGTCTCAAGTACAAATTGGTGTTAAACAAGCAAATTTGCTTGATTTCTGAAACAGATTATCATACTGAAAGAAGTTTGCTAATTCAAAGCAACGTCTATAAAAGCAACTTGTTCATGTAGACAAAACCAGTGCTGCACAAAAAATGAAAAGGGGAATAATTAAGTAGAATCCAGAAGTCTTCTCATTTCCTAAGGATGCAAAAGGAAATGGAAAAAACCCCTACGCTCTCAGAATACACATGTTCGTACCCAGCCTAGCATTTTCAATTATTTGAATAAATAGGAGGCGGTTGTTTTTATGTATTCAGTTACCTTGTTGAGAAGGAAAAAAAAAAAAAAAAAAAAAAGACTACAAGCTGGATTCACAGATTTCCTTATTGACTCGACTCCTGCTGGGAAGATACTAAAATAACGCCTGTTCTCAGCCAAGCTTCTAGCATGATTCTGCTCTGTCAGCTAGTAAGAGAGCAAACAACCCAGCATGTAGTATATTTTGATTTGCTTTGAATCATCATGTGTGGGTCCTAATTATCAGGTTACAGTTCGGGGCATAGATGGAAAAAAAAAAAAGTGCCACACTGAATTGCTTAGTCATGCAGCTATTTTTGTTCCACATTACAGAAAAAGGCTCCACAACACTCAGGACTAAAAAATTGCAAGACTTTTCAGGATACAGGATCAAACTCAGACAAAAGCCAGAATGAACACATACAACGTATTTGTGAATAGATTTCACCCTAGACACCCAGTAACTTCAGAATAAACAAAATAAGCAGTGATTCCCACAACACAGTGGGCTGACTGTCAAAGGGACCCCATAAGATCGCACACCTTCCACTCCCACCACCCGTGGCAACCTCCTGCCGAGCACTCGGAAGTTCTACCTACTGCAGGACCAGCTGCACAGGGGAAAACAAACCCAAAAGCACACACAAATGGAAAAGCCACAGCTTCTCAAGCAAGGATAAAGATCTATGGCACAACTGCCATCACTTCAGAAAATAAGTAATTTATTAATAAAAAAGCCCTTTGTAATCA